AACTATACTATTTGTCCCGTGGAATAAAATATTAATTAATTCACTGTTACTTGTAAGTTTTAAGTTCTAGTACCTAGTAACTGAGGTTTTGTTAATTATGCCAGGGGCTTATTTCCTCCCTGATACTAAGACACATTTTGAGAAGATTCCAGGACTCCAGAAATAGAAGGAAAATCTTAAAAAGCCTATAAAGAAAAATGGTTTTATATGGCTATGTAAGTTACCTTTTCTAAAACTTAGTTCTTTAAAAACTACCCTATAATGTGAGACAGTAACTTGATTATTTTATAGTAAATATATAGTAATAATTTATTTGAATTGAATATGGATTAAATATGAGGAGAGTGTGTGTGCGTGTGTGTGTGTGTGCTTGTTACTAAAATGAATTCCAAACACCAAAGAAAGGAGAGCCACAGACAATGTTTTAATTTATAATAAAATAACATTTAATTTATTGGAATTTTATACAAAATAGACTTTGGTCAGATAGCATTTGAGCTCTTGTTGTAAATAGTAAACATGCAAAAGGAATTTAGGACAAGAATTTAAGCAAAGACATAACATTACTAACTAGACTATTTTTAAATCAAAAAGCACCACCAAAACAATTATATTCTTGCTTTACACAATACTTTTCTTTCATATTTCTTATATAGATTTATTATATATTATATTATTGGCTTCAGTTTTACAATTTTTGGATTGAAGACATAGTATGCATATTAAGAATCTTACATAATCAGAGTGTGTTGATTTCTTTGTAAATTTACCTCTATTGGAAAAAAATATATACAAGAGTATACATGGAATTTCACCCTATACCAACCTACTGGCAGAAGTAGTCTGGGAGTCCTACAGAGAATCCATTTGAACATCTGTTTCATAAGCCACATCCTTCCAACTAAACAGTCATTGAGTATCAAGAGATAGCACCAGTCTGTGTGAAGAATTTTTACAGTGGATATTTGGGGCTCAGGACCTATCCATTCTGTTCAATGTTCTCGTTGGATGCTGCCTTTTAAAAAATTTAAACACGATTCTAGATAATGGAAAAGGAAGCTGGGGCACAGGAGGTGTTTGGTCTTTAGGTTCCGGATGGTTGTGTTTGTCACATGTGCTGATGATTGTCTTGTTTGCTGACCTTGAGGACATTTAAAGAAAACAAGGTTAGGGCACTAATTTCTTTCACTTTGGGCTCTCAGAGGTTAGTACTGAAACAGAGGTATATTCTGTAATTATTATCCAAGCTTACAAAGAATTGGGGATAAAAATTGTTTGCATTAGGGAAAAATAAAAGAACAAAAATATTTATCCCACTCACCCTGACTGCATTCTTTTTCCCAAACCTGTTATCCCTGAAAGTCCCACTGAAGACATCAAAATATCTATCACTCTTCAGCTTTGCAGGAAATAATTTGGGGGAAATGTGAATGGAGTAATGAGTAGACACTGGAGGATAGAAGGGGGCTGATGTTTTGTTATTCGTAAAACCTCTCATGAGATTCTTTGACCTTCCATATTCTACCTGCTTTTGACCACTCTTATATATGGTATAGAATCTAATGCCACTGTTCAGGATTCGTATTATTTTTATGAGGAGCTGTTTACTGCTCTCAGAGGAGCAAAGGATATTGGCCAACTATATTCTGTCTTTTCTTCATGTCCTTTCTGCTTCGGAAAAGACCATAACTTCTGATTTTATCTGCCTGGACACATTGTCTCAACTTCTCTCTATAAATAGGCAGTTTATCCAATTTTATCAAAAGGATGCCAGACAGACATTTAGGCTTCTGTTGAACAAAACGTTCACTAATATAGTCATCACTTACATCCTTAATTAGAACACTGTAGCAGGGAGCAAGATAGCTTTCCTAGATTTCATTCCTGAATTCCATGAGGAAGAAATCAAGAAGGAAAGTCTAAATTTGGTTGATTCTTCCTAAGAGCAGCATTTTGGGAGTCTCAAAAATCCTACTATTAAAGATTTTCAGGCAGTTTAACCAATAGTGGAAACCAAAACTCATCTTCCTGGTATCTTATTCAAAATATCAACTTTTGTAAAGAAAAAAGTAAGAAATGTAAACCCCACCATAGTTTTTATTAAACCGTTGGGATAAACTTCAGTTATCCAGGGGCGCCTGGGTGGCTCAGTCTGTTAGGGGTCTGACTTCGGCTCAGGTCATGATCTCGCAGTCAGTGAGTTCGAGCCCTGTGTTGGGCTCTGTGCTTACAGCTCAGAGCCTGGAGCCTGTTTCAGATTCTGTGTCTCCCTCTCTCTCTGACCCTCCCCCATTCATGCTCTGTCTCTCTCTGTCTCAAAAATAAATAAACAGTAAAAAAAAATTTAGAAAAACAAACAAACTTCAGTTATCCAATCATTGGATCATCACATTTAGGAATAAAAACTTGTGTGTGTAAGTCTTCCTAAGAGGGTAAATTCTTGATTTCTTAAAAACAGGTTCTACAATTAAATAATGAAGAAACAACATGCATTTTTTTTT